AAAAAAAAAAAAAAAAAAGGGAAAACAAAATCAGGGTGACATCCAAAAAAAACCCAAAAAAAACCCCCCAAAAAACACCTGTTTTTATATAGTATGGTATGGCCCAAATTCTACCCTGTTAAGTACCCCAGAACACTGAGCTTACAGGCAGAGTACAAAATAGGTATAGCCCCTCATGCTGTGTTGAACAAAATAAAGTTCAAAAGTAATTGTAGCCTGAGGATGAAATGTATGCATATATGAAATTACAACACTTACAGTTTTAGCAAGGGCTTTGATTCCTTTTTTAATCTCTTTCCTTTTCTCAGAAAACAGTTTGACCTCCTTTTTGAAGGCCTGAAATAGAACAAGCGTTATCACTTAAACAGGCAAGAGATATGATACATTAGGTGATACATAGACAGATACATACATACACACATACATACATAGTTATGTAGACATGTAGACAGCACTTCTCTAGAAGCAGGAAAAGAAAAGAGTAATGATATAAAGTATACATGAAATAACACCACTGCAAAACCTTAAGTCACCTGCTATTATGTAGGTGACTACTGAAGCAACTGGGAACTGATGGCAATTATAAGGCGAATGGAAAGAAAATAGTGAGTGAAAAATTAAATAGAGAACAGTTGACAAAGGAAAACCAGTTTGCTATTTCTGTTTTATTGGGAACTTGAGTGAGACTAGATAAGGAGCAAAATCCAGGCGTGAGCTACTACCATTGTCACCTTCCTGCACGTCTGCAGCCACAACGAGCCTTCTGTTCCCAGCCTACCCCTGCTCATTAAGTTGGCCTTGCAGCATTCCCCAACACTCACTCCAGCACGAGTACCACAGTTCATTCCTGGCTCTAGCTTTCCTGGACACTTTTGTTGGTTTCATATTACCTTAATTACAGTTCTTAAAGCTCAGGCAACTTACTCTAAAAGATTGGGCTATGTGTAGGGTATTTGTTTGTTTTAGGAAAGTTATGCTTGTAGAATGGAATGCTCTGCCAAGTAGTATCTCATTCTACTTTCTAACTTTTCAATGAGTTTTCATAGAAAATTGCTTGATTCGGTACACTTACAAAACATTATTTTAAACCTCTCCCACATCTTACAAATACCTCTTGGCTTTTTTGTTGTATCCATGGAATTTTCTTTGTATTATCAACTTGAACTAATTCTTCTTGCGATGAGTCAATGCTTGACCTCATATTCTTATTTATCTTAAAAGAAGATAGATGCTTAAGTTTTAAATTCACAAAGTTCTTGTATGCCCACTCTACTTTACATACTTGTGTGAATCCCTTTGCACTTGTTGCATTTTTTGAAATAATACCAAATATTTTGCCTGCCCAAGATGTGATGTTTTGTTGACTTAATTCCCACCAATCTGTCCTTATTTATATAAGCCATACTTTTCACTGAGAAGCAGAAATGATCAGACGGGTCACCCAATCGGTCTCTGTCTTCTTCCTGTGACTGTGGACAGAATGTTCCTGCCTGTCAAGGCCTGCCATGTTATTTGTACTCAGGATCTTAATCTTTTCCTCCTTCTCAAGGCCTTTACACTTTTTATAAAAACCCCATCGCCCTTCTACATCATCCATTTCTCCCTTCTACTGAATCTTTCTCAAACATGCTCTAGTATCTCCTGTACTCTCCATTGTCCACCACATTCCCTTTTAGGCACCACCCCCTTTCTGTGCTCTCCTTTGTAGCAAAATGTCTTCAAAGAGTTTAGGAGGGCACACTCTCCTGGCCCTCCTGTGACCTCACTGGCCTCCAGCCCCCTTCTCAGTTTCCTTTGCCTTCCTGAGCGCTGCTCCTGGAAGAACCTCTCTAGTTCTCTGTCCTGGTCCCCTTCTGTTTCTCACCATCTGTTTTTCCATGATAACCTTACTTAGTTTCATGGCTTTAAATCCCATCCATATGCCCTTGACTCTCAAATCAACATCTCCAGTCCTGCCCTCTCCCCAGATCTCAAGGCTCAGCTATCCAGTGACCTGCTTGGTATCTCTGCTTGGATGTCCAACTGGCTTCTCAAGCTCAGCATAGGTAGCTGATTCCAGATTCCCTTCTTTCTCCCTAAAGTCTTCCCCATCTCTGTGAAAGGTATCACCTTCTATACAGTTGTTCAAGTAAAAATCTTAGGAGTCATCCTTGAGTCCTTTTTCCTCTCTCCCTCTATGTCCAATATATCAGGGAGTTCTCTCAACTCTGCTACTGAAACCTAATTGGAATCTACGACTTCCTTTCCACAGCACTCCCCCACCTCCATCATTGTTACCTGGACCTCTGCCATAGCCTCCTAACTAATGTCCCTGCTTCCACTCTTGCCCCCTACAGGAAATATTCTCTACACAGTGACAAGCAAATATTCAAAAAATGTAAACAAGATCTAAATCCTCTGCTCAGAACACTTTAATAGGTTTTCATCACACACAACATAAAATCCAAACTCTTTACTCAAACCCATATTTACCTGGTCTTCTCCTGCCTTGAAGATCTCATCTCCTACCACTCTCAGCCCTGCTCACTTCAACCGCACAGGCCTCTTTTAGGTCCTCAAACATGCCAAGCTCTTTTCTCCTCTGCCTTGGGCACTCTTGCCCCCTGCCCCCACCTTTGCATGGGGGCACCCTCTTCTTGTTCATTTCTCAGCTTAAATGTTTTCTCCTTATTTATTAAATAAAAGCTATTCCAGCCAAACACTATCATACCAACACATATTTATTCCCTAAATAGATCTTGTTACTATCTAATCTTTCCTAATTAATCTGTCTCTTTCTGCTCACCCCCAACCCCCAGTTAGAATGTAAGCTCCATGGAAGTAGAAACTTTTGTATCTTGTTTATGCCTATATTCCCCACAGCCTGGCTCTTTGTAGGTTTTCTATAAATATGTGTTACATGACTGAATGAATGATTGAATGAATGAATGTTGTTCTTTGGCTAGACACTTCCTAAATAAAGTATGTGATATAAAATATAGAGATATTGGTTTGATCAAGCACCAAAATTGATAGTAAGAATCTAAGGAAAGCCCAGATCTTGTACCATGAGTTAAATAAGATCTAAGATGTAATATTTGGGATGGTTTTGAGAAAGGCTCTTTCAGATGTAGCTTATGCTCTTTTTGAAAATCATGGGACACCTGCATAAAGGGGACTATTACTACTTACCTGCTCAAAGACAACCACAAATTGAAAATGATATTATTTAGAGAGAAAGAATGAGAAAGAGAGAAAGAGAAGGAGGAAGAAGAAACACTATTGAAACTCAACTGTGTGTTCAGATTTTGATCCCAAATCCAAGCCATCTCCTCGGGTTATATTTAAATAATTATTCTCCTCATCCATGGCGTTGTTTAAATAAGTTAAAAGTTGTTGGCAATATTCAGGAATTTCATTGGCTAAGTTTCCTCCAAACTGCCTACATTAATAAAAAGAAAACACACAGGCTACAAAATCGTAATTTTAAAAAGTCACATTTAGCAGTAGTATTTCCAGATACCTAACTATTTCTACACAAAGAGATATGTGGGCACCGCTCCACAGTGCCCTGTAGTTATTAGGACTCTACATCTTAGGGGAGAGCCCTTTTATGGGCTCCAGGACATCGATAAGCCTCTTGACCTCTCTGGGCTAATGTCTCCTCACACTGTCCCCATAACCTTACCCTACATGTCCTCTGTACTCACCTGACTTGGTCACTGTACAAAAGGGCCACCACTCTGGTGGAGCCCTTATAATGTAGTAAGTAGGTGTCATGCTGTTTCACATACATAATCACACTATCACATTCAGTCCTCCTAATTCCCACCTTCCAGTGAGGAAGTATTATTACCTCCACTCAGTATATCAGGGCATCTCAAGCTTAGGCACATTAGCATTGCCTGGCAGGTTTGTCAAAAACAGATTCCTGGGCCCCCCACAGAGATTCTGATTCAGAAAGTGCATTTCTAACAAGTTCACAGTTCCTGCAGACCCCACCCTGAATCACATCGTTACTCAATGGTGATTTAGACAGGTTGCCACTTGCGTAAGATCACAAGCTAATTAGTCCTGGACCAAGGTTCAAACTTGACTTTGTTTTGAGTCAGAAATCCACTTGTGATTAACTACGAATGGATAAAAATGTTACTTCCATAAATGAGGTTCCAGCACTTGTTTGCCGTTGCCTGATATGCTATTTGTTCACTTAGCATAAAGGATGTGTTAGGACTTGTATATGAGATACAAATTTGTATTTTATTTTATTCCATGTATAAATGGGCATAACGATGCAGTCTTCAAATGTTTTTGAAATAAATGGCCACAAAATTGCTATGATACAAAATCTCCATTTATATTTATTTATCATTTACAAATATTAAATATTTCACAAAGTCATTGAGAAAGGCCAGGCTTTATGATTGTTTTGATCACAGGAGGCACCATGAGATATTATTTTCGTGGAAATGAATTGCACAATGACTACTGATGTCCGTCAGCATATCAAACAAGGTGACATTTCAACTCTAGGCTGTCATCTTCATGCTCTGTACCCCTTGGTCCTCATCTCCATGACTGGGTAACATTTGTTTATTTTGAATTTTGTTAATCTAAGCAAAGTCTAAATAATTTAATATTGTCTAAAAAAGTCTAATTAGGAAAGTAAATCTGTCTGTGTGTATCAGGCTTTTAATAAATAGGAGTTTTTAAGTTTTAAAGTTTCTACTGTTCAGAATTGTCCTGGTTCATTGTGTTCCTCCAACAGGTGTTATAAAAGTTAGGGCTGGTCATCTAACATGTATTAACTTTGTCTTCGTAGTTTTTGTATTTTGAGGCCTTGACATCTGAGACCTTGCTGACCCTGGAAGGACTGCCAGGACCAGCCAATTGCTGGAGATAGTGAACAAGTAACCCTGGAGCCCTCTTTTCAAATGCAAACCCACCAATCCAGCCCGCACCCTCAACTGTCTCCTCTATTGGGCTTTCCTGCTCAGGACCACTACTTCCCTGCCCTAATCACCCCTGGGTCAAGTGCCAGACAACTAGGGCAGCCCCTCTGCCACAGAACACGCTGAAATGATCCCAACTAGCCACCCCGAGGCCTGTCTGCTCCTTCCCTTGCACAGTAGAGGCTCTTGCCCACATTTTCCTGTTTCCTCTGCATCCTTTCTCACCCGGATGCTTCCCCAGATGGCCTCCCCCGCAGCACGGCATACCCCCTCATCTTGGTAGCAGGGGGATAACAGCCTTTTCAATGGCAGTTCTGTCCTGTTATGTTGGCCTTGCTATACCTAAATAACAAAATCTTTATTTTAAAACACCATACCTCATGGGGTTGCTTATTGTATATTGTGCATACCTCCATCTTAGGTAAACAAGGGTGCCATCACCTTTCCCATTCACCAGAATGTTTTGTCCATCCATTGAAATTCTCACTGATTGAATCCCGTGTGCCTGGTGAGAATGGCTCCGACACTGAGCAAATGTTTCCTAAATAGTTTTAGAAACAAAGTGCAGAACTTACACATGCAATTCTACCATGTGGCTTTTCTCAGGGGGTTACATGTACTTTTCCTTGTGGCTAAATCTTTTTCTGTTTGTTAAAAGCATTTTAGTCGGTATGGAAGTAGACTGTAGGTAATACATAACACTGACAATCCCTAGTTCAAAACACGTTACCAATCCTGATTTTTGTAGTATGGAAGGAGAGGGATTATCACTAATTTATAATCAGAAAATCAGACACAGAAGTGTGTAGAGTGGCTGAAGGCTATGAAGTTAGGGGAGGGGTCTTGAGCAAGCAGAGATGGCAAATTCAGAGGCCTTCAGAATCAGGCCCCATTTATGAGTGTGATGAGAGGTGATGGGTGCTGTGAAGAATGAGGGTGACATGCCCCACATGGAGGACGCTACTTACACTAGTTTAATTAGAATCCAAATGAAACAGAGCTCTAATTTGGTACATAGGGCAACAGTTTAACCTCTTCAACTAAAAATGGGGATTTCTATGTCACACTGGTTCTCAACCATGATGCCTTTTTAAAATTTTTAACTTTTTGAATAGGTAATGCATTCATATAGTTCAAAATTCAAAACTATAGAAGAGTATGCAGTGGAATTTCCTTCCTCTCTCTATTATTACTCAATTACCTCCTAAAGGCAATAATGTAATTAGTAACTTTAATATCCTTTCAGATTTTTTTATTCATTTAAACAAGTTTTTATACAAACATATTTTTAACACAAACTATAGCATAATATGTATATTATGCACCTTGCTTTTCCTCCTTAGGACTATGTCTTGGGGTTCTTTCCATATTATTGTTTTAGATTTCCTCATTCTGTATTACAGCTGCCTAATATTCCATATTTTATTTATGCACTGTTTATGTACCAGAATTTATTTATCAAGTCCTCTGTTGATGAACATTAGGTTGCTTTTACAAATAGTGCTGCCATGAAGAACCTCACATATGAGGTGCTTTGCATAGAATCACCCAGAAAAACTTTGATGTCTTGTCATGTCATGCCTCTGTAAGTTGTAACATACATCAAAAATAATTTGAATGAGTACAGTAGAGTTTGCAAATTGTTCAAATAATTTCTAAAAAATTTGAGATTTTCCTGTATAATAATATCACTTTTGCCCTGTTGTATTTCAAATATACTTTCTTGCACAGGTGAGCAAGGAAATCTAGATCTGCACAGAGCCCAGTTCATCTGTGGACCTCAGGAGTGTGTCATATGGGTGATTGTGATGCTACGGGTAGGTGGGGCAGAACTCTGAGTAAGAATTGCTGACAGCACTATCTGATAACCAGTATAACCTGGTCTAAAACCTAGAAAAGTATCCTCCACTTTTTTGGGAGAAGAAACTATTTTCACTTGCTCAGAGGTCTGAAACAATGGAAATCAGAAATGGTGGTGGTAGTGGTGATGTTGAGGTCTGCAAGTGATAGAGCAGGACTCACTAAGGACCACACCTTTCTCCCTTATGCTCTTCCAGCACTGAGAGCTAGGTGGGGGGCAGCAGCCGGCCCAGAGGCCCTCCAGTCCAAGGAGATAGCAGCAGTAATTCCTAGGTTTGTACAGCAATTCACTTCTTCCAGAGCAATGTTACATACTGTCTCTCACAGAATCCCACAGACTGAGAGCGATCAAGGTTTCTTAATATTACAGATGACCATCCAAAGCTCTCAGTGAAGCTCAGTGAGTTTCCAAGACACACAATTAAGTGATGATGGAGCTGGTTTGGAGCTCACCTTCATATCCCTGCCTGTGCTCTTTATTTACAGATAGTCTCCTGGTTGGTGTTTCCTCCTTTAGAGACTCAAACCTTAGCACATAAAAACACCCACAGAATGTTGACATGATAATCAGTGATAAATAAGTTATGGGTCAATTTACCTAAGAAAGAATTCTAATTCCTTTCCTAAGGGCTTTTGTTCCTCGTATGAGATCAAGATATACATCCCAAGATAAAAAAAAATTTTTTTTTACCAAAGTATGAACATCTCGGATACACAGAATGCCACATTTAGCTGTTGTTATGAGCCACAATCCATGTGGAGACAAAGAGAGCATTCCAGGTCCATAATGTCCACTCTGCACTTTTTTGTACAGCTTAAGAATGCAAATACCACTATGTGCCTGCCAATCAAAAAAAAAAAATGACCAAATTGTAGCAACGGTTAGGGGAGAGGCACCTTAGGGTTTACAATTATGCATATATGGTCAGATTCAAATCCACAAATACTTCCAATGGAAATAAACTGATATATGATAAAGTGGGGACCTGCATTTACCCCATATTTTTCATCTTTGTTTACAAATAAAAGTTTGTTTTGGCAACTAAGAAAAGTCTTCTTTATATTTAGCTCCCATTAAAGATCTCAGCCTATACCGACAGTCTGTTTTTTATTAATCCTTTTCACTTATCCCCATGCTCATGTCAAAATACCTCAGTCAATAATCCCCTTTGTTTTTCCACATACAAGCCTCTGCACATTGCATGACTTTTGTCTGGAATGCGCATCCCCACCTCATCTCCACCTATTTTGTCTCTTCCCTATCTCAGCAACCTCCCACCCCCACCTACCAAGATTGTACAGAGTACTTCTCCATGTCTAAATCTGACCTATTCTTCCTTCATTAAACTTTCCTTGAATCTTCCTTTCCATAAACCATTTCTTCCTTCTCTGAATTTCTCCTTCACACTGTGCTGACACTGGCTGCTCTGGGAGAGAAGGGCTTCAATTGAACGGTTTAGAGAGGAAGAGTGGTAGATAATCTGGTCAGTGTATGTAGAAGGAGTGATGCACAATGGGAAATGTTTGAATAGAGTGTGGATAAAAGGATGGCAGAAACATTGTCTAACTGTTTTGTGCAATGTTGTGTTGTGGGTAAAACTGTAACATTTCCAGAATATCTCTCCTGGCTTTTGTATACATCTGCATATCAATAGGCACTCAAGGGTGGAGACAAGTATGGCTTTAGTGCATTTGCATCATTCCTCAGGGGTGGAGAGAAGTTCATCTCCATATCAGTGGGCAATTACCTGGGCGAAGAGGGCTTATCTGTACCTGAGAGGTGAGGGGAGGCACTTTTGCTTCTGCTGGAGCAGGAAAGAAAAGGGCCTGGACTGCAGTTTGTAAACAATAAACGGATTTTAAACTTTATTTGTCCCTTTGACTGATTTCGGTTTTTAGAGGTATTTTGCCCCGGAATTTCCTCTCTCTGGACTTACATGTGTCCAGGTGCAATGTTGCAATGAAAATCACTAATCCCATAATCCCTGACATCTGTGGATTAAATTCCTAATGATAGACTGTTTTCAAAGACAGTAAACTAATATTGTGTCATATGTATCTTTATCTGACAAGTATGATGTGTGTGGCACAAATATGAAGTTGTTCAAATGTATTTTATGATGGGTTAACAAATAATGCTAATATATATCTAATTCAAGGAAATTATGTTACTGTAATAAGGCCATTTGTTAACTGGACTATAATCTTAAAGCATACATCATGTCTAATTAATACAACTTGTCAATCTTTTTGCTAAGATAAATAATAACACCCTTAAGTTTTGGCATACTTTTTCAGGAAGAAGATAGCTGCAGATGTATGGCACTTGATTACAGAAGCCATATATTTGGTTACTTTTAAAGTCCAACACCGCAGAGGACAGAGTATGCTCTATCTCATACAGGATCTTATGAATGAATTCATCATTCAGCCTTCCTCTTTCATCAGAAAAGTTTGCAGAAACTATAAGATTTGGGGTAAAGGAAAGATTACTTGCACCATATATTGATTTTCTTTTTTAAATCATTATGAGCAACTATGAAAAGCAAAATAAAAAATTTGAATGCTCAATAAATAATGCAGAGGCTATTTAGGAGATAAAATGATTTAAAACAACTTTAAATTAGAGCTGTTAGAACCATAAGAACTACTTGAGTATTAAATGACTAATAGTGAGTAACATATCTTTTATAAGGCTTTGGTTAATTTCATCAGTTAAGTAGAGACATCACTAAAAGAAACTTATAAATGGTCTAGAGATTCTTAATTAAAACATAAAAGTTCTTTGAGGTTTTCAGCTCTCTTATTTATACTCTATATATTTGCAAAATAGCTACCCAGGTGTATTTGTTATCTAAACAAACAGTTTATCAGACCTCTTTATCCAGAGAGCTTTCTTTATAGTTTTTTCAGTGAAAATAACCACAAACTAACCTGTCTGAATTTAACTATGTATACTTAAAGCTACAAAACAAAAGACATCAGAAAATGACAAATCAGTCGAACAAAAGTGCCAGTCAATCCTGTTTCTTTCCTCTGATATGACAGACTCATATGAATGAATATCTAGAGGAAACTCCACATTTCACATTGTTTCTCAGCCACAACATATTCACTTTGTAAGATGCATAAAACATGACCATTTTACCTCTTCATATGTTAACAGGAAAAAATTGCTGTCACCAAGGGGAAAAAAAAAACTGTACCAACTATTCATCTGGGCCCAGATTAGAATTGGTTTCTTATTTTTTCTTTACCTTGTGGTAGTATTTTAGGCAGAGTAAATATTTCCAGCCTGCTTCTTCCTGTTTCTGGAAGTGGGGAAAGAACCATCACTTCTACTATGTCTGTTTCCAAAAGAGACACCGTGGATATTTGTAAAATGCCTTTGTTCACCTCTGAAAGCAAACAGAAATCAGCACCACAAATGGTCACTGATAAGTTTAAAGAATCTTTTATCTTCCCAAGTAAGATATCACATAAACCTGCCTTAACTAAATCTTTACATCCAAATTTATTTACATTTAAAGTGACCTTTAAACATAACTGATAGGGCCATTTTTGATGAACCGATGGGGGTTTCTTCTGATTAGATGTCTGGGTTGGCATATTCAACCCAGCTCAGCTGGGCTCAGCTTCTTTCCCAGCAAGGGAGGCCCAGCAAAGGAGGGCTGCCATTCCACCCAACTCAGTAGCACTGTCTGCTTTTGCCCCTTGAATGTCTCCTCCAGCCAGTTTGCCCACTCCTAATAACAGGATAAAGTCAGGCATCTGTTCTTTGCATCTGTAGTCACGGTATTGTGGGTGTAGTGGATATACGCATGACTTAACGAGTTTGCTCCTCTAGAATCCAGGTAGTCTGACCTTTGCAAGGTGTCATGCCTGGGGCCCACCTTGATTCTTTCCATAGTCACTACTCCCACTCTCCATGGGGGCTGTTCTGCATGTGTCTACTTTCTCAGGCCCTCAATATCAGCCTCTCCCTTCAGGTGGTCAGTGGATGATCTTTTCTCTGAAGACTTAGGACATCTGACCCAAACTGGACTTCAACTTTCTTATCCCTACTCTTTATATTTTTTCTGTCTCTTCCCATCCTACCTTAGGCAGGACTTGCATCCACTGTGAGGCCAGCCATAGGTCCTACCACACTCCAGGTCATCTAATTTACATAGGTTACCTCTTTGGCATCATTAAGCAATTGGGTTTGCTTCTATTCTGTCTTAAGCCATCTCATCAGCTTGCACGATTTCAAGGTCAGAATTCTGTTAAAGCCTTGAACTCAAATCTCTATTTCCAAACATATGCTATCTATCCTCACATAAGGAACTTACTGGCTTCAAATCTACAGAGCTTGTCAGCTATTATGATTAATATCACCTCTTGCCTGGAATACTATAATGGTTTCCTGACTCATCATGTTTATTCCATTCTCTTGCCTCTCTGCTCCATTCTTCACACTCCCGCCAGCGCTGTCCTCTAAAATCCAACTCAAATTATGCCAGTCCCATCTTGAAAACCTCTGATGGTAACTTATTAACCATGAAAAAAATCCAGACTTGGAAAGATATTCACAACCTGCTGTTTTCTTTCAGGCTCCACTGCCATGATCATCTACACCAGACTCCCCACCGTTCCAAGTGCCTTTGTTCAGACTTTCTCTTGAGCTGGAATACTAAGGTGCCCATCAGCGAGCCCTCCCCAGCCCTATACCCCCCTTTGTCTGTGCCCCCTGCCTTTGCCTCCACTCCTTTCCTCACCCCTGGCAGAACCGCTGCTTCCTCTAAGCCTACACAGCATTCTACTTATTCTTCCTTCACTAAGTTGTCTCCTTGACCTTTCCATGCCCCCACGGGGCCTAAGTTCAACATATTATACCTAACAGGCACTCAGTAATTTAAAAAATCAATGAATGGATTTAGAAATATATTTAGGGTAAAAACATATACATGTATTTGGTACTTAAAGCCAGAGAGAAAAGTGTTAGTTCTTACTGTCTATCACACAAGTGCTGCCTCATCTCCCAGACCCGTGGTCTTGCTGGGCATGCAGATGAACCTTACTGAAAAGTCTGGACATCTTTTGGTTTAAAGAGGCAACATTAAAGATACATGTAATAAAACTTTCTTTAGATATTTAGATATCTTTGTTAAATAGAGATCAAATACTATTTTAAAATACATTTCAAAGAAAATCAACCCAACTTCACTTTGTAATAACATTAGGAATATTTAGCCATTTCATTAATTCATTAAACTGATTCAAGAAAATTTATTTAGCATCAACTATGTACCAACATGTACCAACTGCGGACCACCAAGTGTTTCCCAAAACCTCCTAAAACCTTAGGAATTCTCCCAAGTAACTTTTAACAGTTATTTAAATGTTTCTCTCTTAGAAAATAATTGTTTCACTATAGGCCAATTTTCACAACCTTAAATTCTTTAGAATAAAGTGACCAATATTCTAGATGAATAAACATTCTATGTAGTACCTATGAATCCAAGAATCTGAAATAAGCTTGAGGGGTTGGCATTGATAACAAAGATGTATCCTTCCAGTGTTCCAACTAATAGATACATTCCTCGCTGGTCATAACTGGAAAAGAAAAAATATGATTATCAGATTTTACTTATTTCACTAATAAATGGTAAACCTAGTGACTGACAGCATGGCAATACATTCAAAACCAATCATTTTATCATTTGTGATTTTTTAATACTATCAACCTTATAAAAGCTAAGCTATTACATGCAAATGTAATCATTACATTCTAGGCTAATGATATTTTCAAATTGTAAGTTATAGTATCCAGTCAAGAAGATTCACTAAAGATGGGCAATTATTTCATTGTAAGTGAATGAAAGATCACAGTAGCGCTTTCTTGATACTGCAAGTGAAAATAAACAATTCTTGAATTAGCGACGGGTATGACATTTCAGTATCCTTCAGTACCACTATCTGGCAGGAGGAGGAAGAATGTAGTGAAAGGTTTCTACACTTCCCCCAAATTAGAAAAAAATGGGAAAATGCACATTAGGATTAGAAAAAAGGATCTAAGAAAGAAGAGGCATCAAAAAATATGTTATGGAGGAACAGGGTGTACATGGAGTGAAGTTACAGATCCTTCCCAACGAGTGGAGGCAGCTGAGCTTTTAGGAACAGCACAGACTGCAGAAACCCAGCCCCTCCAGGCAACTGGGAAAACGCTTTTCTTAAGCTCTCTGGATCTGAATTCTCTCTGTGTGGAAGAGGGACAAACAATACCTGTCTGACACATTCATATTCAATGAGCCACAGTGTGTGACAGCAACTCAAGCTCTAAAGCAGGGCACAAATGTTAGTTCTTATTAATACTTACTATTACCATAAATTAACAAAAGAAAGACTAATAATAACTATTATAAGTCCAATGTCTCTATACTGTCTTCTTTAAAGTATTGCTCAAAAGATTTGAAATCATCTAAATGCCCATCAATTTACTGTCTTTTAAAAATGACGGTATATTTTACAATGGACAAAAGACAGTCTCTCCAGTAACTGGTGTTGGGAAAACTGGACAGCTACATGCAAGAGAATGAAACTGGATCACTGTCTAACTCCATACACAAAAGTAAACTTGAAATAGATCAAAGACCTGAATGTAAGACATGAAACCACAAAACTCTTAGAATAAAACAGGCAAAAATCTCTTGAACATAAGCATGAGCAGTTTTCTCCTAGACACATCTCCTTGGGTAAGGGAAACAAAATGAAAGATGAGTAAGTGGGACTACATCAAACTAAAAAGCTTCTGTACAGCAAAGGACACCATCAATAGAACAAAAAGGCAACCTATGGTATGGAAGAATATATTCATAAATGATTTACCCAATAAGGGGTTAACATCCAAAATATATAAAGAACTCATATACCTCAACACACACAAAAAACAAATAACCTGATTAATAAATGGAAGAAGGACCTGAACAGACATTTCTCTAGAGAAAAAATACAGATGACGAACAGGCACATGAAAAGATGCTCCACATCGCTAATCTCAGGGAAATGCAAATCGAACCATAATGAGATATCACCTCACACCAGTTAGAATGGCCACCATCCAAAAGACAAGATATAACAAGTGTTGGCAAAGATGTGGAGAAACGGGAACCCTCCTGCACTGTTGGTGGGAATGTAAATTGGTGCAGCCCCTGTGGAAAGCAGTATGGAGGTTCCTCAAAAAACTAAAAATAGAAATACCATTCAACTCAGTAATTCCACTTCTGGGAATTTACCCAAAGAAAACAAGAGCCCTGATTAGAAAAGATACATGCACCCCTATGTTTAGTAACCTAAGTGTCTATCAGTAGATGAACAGTTAAAGAAGATGTGGTACATATATACAGTGGAATATTTTTCAGCTATTAAAAAAAGAAATCCTGCCATTTGTGACAACATGGATGGACCAAGAGAGGAGTATGCTCAGTGAAATAAGCCAGGTGGAGAAATACAAATACTTCTGTATTTGTGAAATCTAAAAACAAAGCAAAACAGAATGAACAAAACAACAGTAGACTCATAGACACTGAGAAGTGACTAGTGGTTACCATGGAGGAGGGGTTGGGGTGGACAGGTGGGAAGAGAGGGTTTAAGGAGCATAAAAATTCTCAATCATAATACAAGTTGGCCACAGGGACAGCAGTACAGCATGGAGAATATAGCCAATGATTCTGTAACATCTTCCTATGTTGACAGAGACTAACTGCACTAGTGGGGGTGAGGACTTAATACGGGTAACTGTTGAGTCACTGTGTTTTATATTTAAAACCAATAAAAGACTATATATCAGCAATACTTCAATCATAATTTTAAAATGGGTATCAACAATTGTTCTGTCTGTACAAGTGACAGAAAAACCTAATACACCTAATTTTTCCATTAAAGAATGATGGTATATTCATATAATGGAATACTATGTAGCTATAAAAAAGAATGAGAAAGGTCTTTATGTGTAAACAGAAAACATTCTCCAACATATACCATTCAGTGAAAAAAAAAACAACAAAAAATGAGGTGCAGAACATTGTATATGGTTGCTATCCTTTAGGAGCAAAGGCAGTGACTCTGGAGCCCACCTGCCTAGGTTCAAATCCCAACGTTTGCCATTTACTACCTGCGTAATATTAAGCAAGTTATTTACACTCTTTGTGCCTCATCTTTCTCAATTGTAAAATGGAGACAATAAGAGTATCTATCTGGTAAAGTTAATACAACAGAAGTGCCTGGCACACACTAAGCGCTTGAGAATTATTTGTGTAATTAAGAAGAAGTACTCATTTTTTTGCTTGTTTATGGACAAAATATCTCTGGGTAAAAAATCATGGCTTTCCTGAAATTCTCAAGAGACAAGCCTGACAACATTGCTGCCAGAAGCAGGCGGTACTTACAGGAGGTGCTGCACGGACATTTCGGAGAGAAAGGCTTTGTGAACTGCCTGCGGGGACTCAGCATCTCGGACATCGAGGAAATGGACAGAGCCATCCACAGTCCCCACGGCTGCAGAGAGGGAGGAGGGAGAACAAGCCAGAACTGTTGCCTGTTTAAAGCAAACCCCCAGATTCTTAACTTCACTGTGCCAGAAAACAAAGCCAGCTTTCCTACCATAAGAATTCTAGAATTTATTTGAAAAGCGTGCTGAATAAGAAGAGTGGCAAGCGTTATGTGATATTAAAAATTCTATACTCAATATTCATGAGCTAACTGATTGCATAAAAAGTCACAGGAATCTGTACATCTTACTTTCTTAACTTAAAATTAGATAATAAAAATATGTTAAAATTTCTTTAAGCCATGCTTCATTTTCATCCCTAACTGGTCATAAAATGATTATACTACTAACAATGAAAAATAAAATAAGAAATTTAAAAACACATTTCTAGCATCTTTTGGAAAACTTTTTAGAATGTTAGTGAATTTTAGAAGTCATCATTCATCTGCTGGGTAACAGTAGATCCTGGGATGCTGGTATGACTGAGGAAGACTTCAGAAAATAACCATATCACTGGACCATATATTCAGTAACCAAAGAAATACATCACAGATTCCTGCTTATCTCATAATCATTTACAAAATATGGTGTCTAAGAAAAGGAATCAGATTCATTCTTCCATAATTACACTTTGTAGGTTGTTTTGAATAAAATCAGAACATTAAAAATAGAAAAGAGCTAAAGAGATAATTGTTTTTCAGAATATAAAATGGAGGCAAAATAGAAATCATTTTGCAAAACAGAAAAAAGAAAAGTGCAGCATTTTGCCCCAGGATTCTGTACCTGGTGACAAAGCTTAGGTGAGAAATCAGGTGTCCTGCCTCATTAGAATGCACAGCTTCCCAACTGAGCAGATTTTTATTTTATTTTTAAAAGTAAATTTTCCAAGGCTTAAGCAGGTTGAACCTTTATCAATAGCTCAGTGTGAAACTGGAAGTGGAATGGTAAGGTTTTTTTTTTTAAACTGAAATCTTTTATGGGAGCTTTGCATGTGTGTTGTGTGTACATTTGTGTATGTGTATGTATTCTCAAAATAATCAGTTGAAATTATCACCCATTCCAGCGTAATCATGGCCTGAGCTATAAATGTGCAGCGGTGTCTGGAGGGGTCTGATGTGCCTTAGCAGGCGCCATCACACAAAGCTTCAGTGTCCAGGTCTCCTGCCGTCATGGTGCTGGGCTGGGTTCTCTGAGAACCACTGCCTAAGTGTTCATGGGGAACACAGTCTTGGGTATGGCAGGAAGATCTGGCCTCAGCATGGCTGTGTCAGTCCATTTACTGATTCCCCACAGGGGAGCAGTATCCTCCAGCGAGGAAAAACCACCAGTTCTCCCCAACCTGGGCTGAACTACATGAGTGTACCATGCCTGGTTTGGAGCTCAGAAAAGGTTTGTTGAGCTAACTGTGAAAGTTGTCTTAATCTCTCCTCTCTGGTAGGTGATGGGAATATATCTGAAGCAGACAGCAGACCTTCTGATGGTGTCTCTTTCTCTTAGCCAAGAAGAACAAAGTAATAAGTCCTGATTATACAGGCCCCCCAGTGGGTTGTTTAATGTCTGTATGTCTTTCATCTGTAAAGGATATTCGATGAGATGAACTTTAAGATCTCTTCTAGTTCTAGTAATTCTAATAGAAATGAGTACATAAAAGCCTTTTCACACAGGAGTCTACCTGTATTTCACAGTCTTTTAGGTAAGAATTTTTAATCTTTCCCTTTTGGGGTAAGTTTTATTTATCCACTGAATTATATACCTTTTACATCTTGGAATCCTCTTATGTAAGGGATCTTGTTTTGTAACTGAGATTTTAATTTTATAAAAGGCAAGGATTGTAACTTAGCTACTACCAAGATCCATATCTCATCTAGAACTGTGTAATACAGCAAATGATAATTTAAGAGAAAAATAGCATTAACATTGTTTCTTATTACTTTTGTTTTTTAAAAATATTATCTTACATAAAATCCACTATAAACATGGTGGAAATAATGGTATCACTTTGTGGCAAGTGTTGTGAACAACTGTGGTTTGCCACCCAGCATCCACACATCCTCCTTCTGGAAAATTTCTTTAATATCCATGGAAACACTGTCTCTCTCCTGTTTCCAGGGTTGAGTGAAATAGATCTGACCCATTTCCAGGCTAAGCTTAAACCAATTAGCATTTCTTATTCCCCTGTTCACAGACATTAGTTCAGGGATGTTACTAAGGCATTAGAAGACATTTACTAAGTCTTCTGGAAAGAAGAAACTTCTTTTTCTCCTCTCACTGTAGAAGGCTTTATGCCCTGATGGCCTGGCAGGAGGTTGGCACCTGTGGCACTTGGTATCACTAAATGAAGCCTAAGATGAAACTGAAGACATGGTATACAGACAGAGAGAAAGACAAGATCCTTGGTAGGATTTGAGTTGCTGGATCAAGTTATACCTGAGGCCAGACAAGTTCTATACTTAATAGTTGATTAAGGCAATAACTCCCATTTCTTATTTTTGGCTCAAGCTGCTTAGCAATTTTCTTTCATTTCTAATGGATCCCTTGATGTTAGATGGGGCCATTTAACTAATTTGGCCAAGGGGATATTTCATTTTTGAGTAAAAGCACTTAATTGCTCATTTAAGGCCCTCCAGCCCTCTCTTCCCATACCAGTGCACTGAGGAGCTCTTGTTTGGTAAAGCCTCCATCAGCCCAGCTTCCTGAAAGACCATGTGGAGCACATACCCTGCCAGACCACAATGAATTTATAGCATGAGTGAGATATAAACCGCTGGGATTTCAGAAATAATCACTACCACAGAAAAATTTGTCCTCTCTGTACACCAATATAACACCTTATGTTCTATCCTCTGGGCTATAGAATATACTTTATACACAAGAATTACTCTTACTATATAAGGTAAAATGCAATCACACATCTATAACAAGTATTTCTGTGGGCTACTGACGTGGATTTGAATGAGTAGACTAGATTAGGATATAGTATTTTTAAAAAATGCCTTTACAAGGCACACTTACTGGGGTATTCAGATAAATCCTGCTAACACAAGCACCATCTTCTATACACCAAACACAAATTTCTCCTGAATGTGTGAGCGTCTATAAAAGAAAGAAAAATATCACATTGAAACAACCATAAGAATAGACATAAATCTTATCAGAGAAGGCCTGGAAGAAAAATCATATAATCAGAACCTCAAGGCTGGGAAATACTTTACATGTTAACTATTCCATAGTCTACATATTTTTGCTGGCTAGAATTCCCAAAATCTTAATGAATTTGTTGATAAATCATATGAAAAATGAAATATGTTTCTTGAGATCAACAACAGGTGAACAGTTGAGCACCAGAAAAACAGTTTATTTTCTAAATGTAGAGGGTCGGTTTCCTTTCTATAGACTGAGTTCATGTTTTATGCTTGGCAACTATTTCATTTTCATCTTCACATGGGACTTCATCACTCTGAAAGATGGTAAATATTAATAGTTTAACGAGTGTTCACAACTCATTAGCAATGACTGTGTTTAAAGACCTGGCTTGGAAAGCTTGGATGGTGAATACAAGCAGGATGAATCCTAAGATTTCAACTGCTTGGGCCATTTTCAGAGACGTAATATTATGAAGTCACAGTATGATGTCATTCTAACCGGGGAATAGATTTGATGATGGAAGTGGCTGGCATTTCTACATCTTCAAGAATACCCTGTGCCTCCTGTTTGCATCAGGTCACACACAAACTTCCAAAATCTCATTTTAAAATCCTGCTGTAAAATGATAAAATATTCCTTACCATGCAGTATTCATTACCAGGTGTGATCAAATCAATTGCCTGAAATTTCCCATCACAAGATTCTAGGACTCTTTCAAATGTTGGCTCCTCACCAAAAGTGTAAATATAAACAGATCCCTGTTAAATATACCCAAAAAGAAAAAAGAAAGAAAAGTAATGCAAAAGTAATGCAACCCTGAGTTCAACAAATATGTATTAAATGCCTGTAAGCAAGGCACTGTGTGGGAATAGGTGATGGAAAATTAGAGAGCAACTCAGTAAGGCTCTGACCTTGAGTAGCTTAAAATCTAGCTGCTGAATTGATTGAGTCATTCATTCATTTAAAATAATCAGTAAATAGGACTTTCTTCTTTTCTCAAATTCCATGCATTTTTAAAGTAACAAAATATAATAAAACACTTTTTCCTGACTTCAAAAATGATGTCTATTTATGTAGAAAATTTATAAAATGTAGAAAACCAGTAAAGTTGTTAAGATGAACTAAATCCTATTACATACTAGACCATGGCGGCACTAATGAAAACTACGTCAGCCTTTGTGGAAATTGTGGAGGTGTGGCTGAAGCTGTTACTTTATGACATATCTATAATTCTCAGCTCCCAAAGTCACCTCTCAAAAAAAAATACCTTGTAAGTTATATATCTCTGCAAAGTAACTGTAATATGGTGTAGCCACTTAACTAGGAATAAGAAGTCTGCCTTCAACTGATACTAAGTGCTTCAATTTATTTGAGCTAAACACAAACATTTTTGCTCTTGTTTAAAATGTACAACTACATAAAATTTACAACTTTTAAGTACTTACTGATTTTACCTTTCATTCATTCCTTCAACATATATTGCCAGGAACTGCTCTGGAGGCTAGGGCTACATCAGAGGACAAAACAGATAAAAATTCCCTGCCCTCTAAACTCACAGACAGTGAGAAGTGACTGGCAGTTACCATGGGGGAAGGGCTGAGATAGTTGGGAAGGATAAAGGGGCACAAAAATTCTCACTCATAAGATTAGTTGGTCACAGGGACGGTAGTGCAGCGTGGAGAATATAGCCAATGATTCTGTAACATCTTCCTGTGTTGACAGACAGTAACTGCCCTGGTGGGGGTGAGGATCTAATAATATGGGTCACTGTTGAACCACTCTGTTGTATACTTGAAACCAGTGTAAGATTGTATATCGATGATACTTCAATAAAAAAAAGATATTCTCTGCTCTTATGGAACTTACAGTCTACTGGGGGATTCAGATAACAAGATATATTGTAAGCTAAAGAGCAATAATTTTAAGGAGAAAAAAATAAAGCAGTTAAAGAGGATATGATGTGGCAAAAAAAAGAGGGTGAAATGTTAAACTGAGTGTCCAAGAAAGGCTTTACAGAGGAGGCGACTTTAGAGAAAAGAGTTGAAGGAAATGAGGAAAGGACTCATGTGGAGTCTGTGGGAATAGTATTCCCGACATAAGGAACTACCACCGCAAAGAGTTGGGGAGGAGCATGACTGATGAGTTCAGGACAACAGCATGATGTCCAGCATGACTGGAGCAGGGTGACACGGAAGCAGAATAACAGGAAACAAGGCCAGGGTGAAGAGTGGAGTCCACATTATGAAGGGTGAGAATTTGTAAAGCATAGTGAGTATTTTGACTTTTACTCAGAATAACAGAGGAAATCTGGAGGACTATGACTAGTAAAAAGAAATGCTTTGCTCACTTAGGCTGCTGTATTGAGGGTACATAATTTATTTTATCATTAAAATTTCCCATGGAGATCATGACTTTGTTTCTCCTTGTCATCTACTATGTTTTGTTTTATGTATTTTGAGACTATTTTATTTAGTACATATACATTTTAAATGTTTATATATTTCTGGTGAATTTAACCTTTTACTATTTAGAAATAAGCCCATTTATCTTTGTTTTCCCTTAAAGTCTATTTTGTCTAATATTACTATACCTCCACTGGCTTTCTTTTGATTAATGTTTGCATGATATATCTTTTTCCATCTTTTTATTTACTGTCAATTTTTACATTTATATTCAATGTTACTATATTTTTTATTTTTGTTTTCTTTCAATCTTTAGATGGGTCACTTGTAAACAGCATAGTTGGGCTTGCCTTTTTTTTTTTTAACTAGTATGGCAATCTCTGCCTTTTAACTAGCTTAGTCTGTTTTATTTTGATTATAATTAGTAATATATTTTAATGTAAACATTGCATTTTAATTATGCTTTTTTCTCTCTTATTTTGTGTTTCTCCTTCTCTCTTTTCTTACCTTGTTTTGGGTGTTTTGTTTTTTTAACATATCACTTTCCCCCCTATAGTGTAGAGATTTCATTTTCTGTTTCAGTTCTTTTAGTGGTTACCTTAGAAATTACAACATGGATACTTGATTTATAAATATCACAAAGTTACTTAAAACCTCTACTCCCCTCCTGGGCTATATAAATAACTTGGAATGCTTTATTCCATTTACTTCTCCCCCTCCAACTTACATTATTATTGTCTTGGATTTTAATTCTATGTTATTTTTAACCCAACTTCCTGTTAGTTTTGCTGTTTTATACAAGTGATACTCACTTACATGTCTCCATACACTCACCACTGCTCTTTATTCTTCTTGCATCCCAGTCTTTCCATCAAGGATAATATTCCTTCTGCCTGAAATACATTCATTAGAATTTTCTCTAGTGATGAACTGCTGCTGACAAAAATCTGTTCTGGAGTGTCTAAAAAATGTCTTTTTTTACTCTTATACTGAAAAAGTGTTTCCACTGGGTATGGAATTTCAGGTGGTAGTTAACTTATTTCACAACAACAGGGTCAGCAAACTTTTTCTATAAATGAGCAGATAGTAACAATATTAGGCTTTGCAGGTCATGTGGTCTCTCACAACTACTTAATTCTACCATGCAGTGTGAAAGCCGCCATAGACAATACATAAATGAATGAGTGTGACTGTGTTCCAATGAAACTTTATTTACAAATAAACTTTATTTACAAATATTACAATAGCAGTAAGTTGGTTTTGGCCCATGGGGCCATAGTTTGCTGACCCTTGCACTACATGGAAGATCATTCTCCTATTTTTTACATTATTGCCACAGCAGCTGTTAGTCTAATTTAAATTCCTTTGAAATAATCTGTTTTCCTCTCCGACTGCTATTAAGATTTTCTCTTTGTCTTTAGTATTCAACAATTTCACTTTGTTAAGTCTAAGAGTGGATATATTTTTGTGTAATCTTTCTGTACGTAACTTTTTGTGGGTATCTTTCTGTTTGGGATTCACTGAGCCTCTTCAATATGTAAATTCATGTCTTTAATCAGTTCTGGAAAATAGCTCTTTAAACATTGCCTCTCCCTGACCCTTTCTCCTCTCTGGGATTGTATGTTAGATCTTTTCACCACATCGTTCATGTCTCTTATCCTGCTTTCTATATTCACTATCTTTTTGCATCTCTGGGCTACATTCTGAATAACTTTTTCTAATCCATCTTCGAGTTTATTAATTCTCTCTTTGGCTGTATCCAATTTCTGTCAGACATATTCATTTAACTTTTACTTTGTTAATATATTTTTCTTCTTTAGAGGTGCTTTCTAGTACTTTTTCCCTTCTGTTATGTTACATTCTTTTATGGTTTCCTGTTCTCTATAGATATCTTAAGTGTCATTTTACTTATCATTTATTAAAACATAGCACAGTTGTTTTGACTATTGATAATTATTAGAAACTGAAGTCTTTCCATATTTACATTAAAATTTCTTTTAGGGAGAAAATCATTTAACTTTATTTGTATCCAAAATCATTGCCTAACGATATAGACTGCTGCAAACCTGACCTTTGAGGGTCATTCCATTAACTAGGGGTCCTCCTAACAGTATAATTGAAGTGGGTATTTGGTTTTATCCTGCATTTATTTCTTCCCCTTCTTCTCTTACAGAACCTGTATTTTCCTTAGAGAACCACCCATGATCCCAATCTCAGTCCATGTTTGGGCTGGTTGATTCTACCCAGAGTCCAAGGATAGGCATGAGACTTAGGCCTGGCCAGTTGGAGCTTAGAATCCTCCTGGACATACTAATGGACCGAGGGGTAGAGAGGTAACCCAAGTAAGTACAATGGGTCTAGATTCCAGGACATCTTTACAAGCTGGTATATTTCTACCAGGACCATCAAGAGGATAGAAATATAAACTAGAGTTGTGGGAGGCTCTCTTGACATCATAGAGGAGTCATTTGCATGGAAAGGGAGGCAGCAGAGAGGAAACAGAGCTAAGTGATGGCAGAAAAGCAAGGCCAGTGGCAACATGTGTGCTCCTGGATTCAGATAAACTCCTTGCCCTTTTAGTTATGTGCATAAAAACAAACAAAAATCTCTTTGTTATTTAGGCCTTTTAAATTGGGTATTTTTCATTTGCAACCTGAAGAGTCCTGAAGAGTAGAATATCATTATGCAGCCCACTCTGTCCTTCATTCCTGTCATGAAATGATGATAATAATAATATTTGAAAATTGTATATCAAGATATCACCATCTAGCTAGCATACCTTGTCTGTCTGAATCAGCAACATTTTGTAACTGGGAGAAAATATCATATGTTCCACAGGCCCTTCAACCTCAAGAAAATCCTCTACTTTGTAACTTGAATCTTTAATAATAACAGAATAAACAAAGCCATCCTAGAGACCAAAAACAATGAGATAAAGGTAGAAAATCAGTCTCAGTCAATGCATAGTGTACTTTCCTTATCAGACAAGCTAAGTCTCATTGATTATCATCTACTCTTAATTTTTGGAATCATCATCCATGTTTACATTATCTTGAGTGTCCTCTCTTATTATCTTATTTAGGTAACTTTTAACCATGTTTCCTGGTTGAGTTTCAGCTTTATCTCTTTTGTGACACATTTTTCAGTCACCTAAAATTTTACTGATTTCTCTTTTTTTTTTCACATCTCTAGCATCTACTTACCACATTCTTCATTATATAGAAGGTAGGGCAAATAAGGCAGTTTATTGTGTGGCTTGTGTATAGCAGTCTCCTTATTTCAAAGGACACTAGCTGTAATGTATGTTGATCATTATTATGTGCATTTCTTACCTCCCTAAATAACCCAAAGGTAAGGAGCATGCTGTTTATTTCCTTTGTATCCTCCTTAATACTAACTTTAATATTAGCAATAACAATATGATCCATGTAACCTAAATGTGCACAAGAAGCTAAACTGATGCTTAGACAAAAGATTCCACTCGTGTCTGATAACCTAATTTATTAAAAGCACAAACAGGCATGGTATTGGTTGTACAGATATTAGATTTTTGTTTTTCCCTTTTTTTGGCAAGGGGGTTAATTCTGTTTTTGCTTGTTTATAATAACATAGTATATCTACATCATTATACTGTTCTCTACTTTTGTAATAATATTTGAAATTCTTCATATAAAAAGTTTACAATACCATCCAGAAAGCAAACAACTTTAATTATAAGGTTATTAGAAAGAAACTGACATCCCAAGTTATGGCTCATAAGAGTAACTGGCAGCAAAGGGAAATTGTATATTTCTTGAAAGCAATTAATTTTTAAGAAAAAAATACATTACAATTCCAGAAGCAAGCACACCTCCCTTCTGATATGCCATGGTGACTGGACTGATGAGATTTCTTCCATCTTTTGGAAAAAAGAAATAATTCTGATTTGCTTTCCTTGGACTATTCATTTCTTTGTAATCCTCTTTCAAAAAACCAACTTCATGTCAGAATTATGTTCTATGATGCCTCCCAAACACTGAATAATAAAAGCTGCCTAGCAATGATTATTGATAAAAATCACATGAAATTTTTAAAGTTCTCTGTCATCAGATCTATGTAACTAATATTGTAGAACTATATAGTAAATATATTTTCCTTTTAAGGAAGGCATTGTCAGAGATTTTAAGAGGCCAGCAACAAACAAACAAAAACAAACCCTTAAACCTATATTATTACCAAGCTGCATATTTAAGATTTGTATATTTTATGATTTGTAAATTCTATACTTTAGTAAATAATGAACAGTGGACAACAAGAAAATAAGAGGAGAAAGTGTTCTGTAAGGACATGTGGTCCTAATAAAAATTGTCTTTGGGGAAAACTAACAAAAGCATCCTACATTTTATGTAAATAAAACATGAGAACTACAAGATCAAAGGCTCAGACAGCATCTATCCAATTGTTTACCGCACACATGGTTGGCATTTTGCCAGATGCTAAGAGGCATTCTGTTCTTCCCTTAAAAGACTGCTCATCTCCCAGCAGCCTCTTTTCTAATCCAACAGCTGCTGGAGTCCAAGTTCTTGTCTGTCTAGTCTAGGTGCCTGCTGCTTATAGCCACCTGCTCTGGGATTGTTCTTTCCTGAGTGATGGCTAAATTAATCTCCCCAAGCACAGTTCCACTTGGGGTACATCCCCATCCAGGAGTTTTTGATGTCTTCCCACTGTTAGCTCAATTAAGTATAAACATCTTAGCTAGGCAGTCAAGATCACATGGCAGCGATGTCCCTTCATTCCCCACTATCCCTTTGTAATACTTCATGTTCCAAACTGGACCACTTCGTGCATCTCAACCTTTCCTGTGTTTTCTTGTCTATGCAGTTATCATCACCCAAAAAATTCACTTACTTTCATCTCTGCCTGTGAACCTATCCTTCAAGGTCCATTTCAAATGCCACCTTCCAAATGACTTCACTTGGTCTGTTTCCCTCACCTGAAGTCTGTAGCACTTTGTGACATTCTTCTTTAATGATAATATGTTAATCTACCCAGCTGTAATTATTTATCTACTGGTCTTACTCTCTTTAATAAAATATAAATCCCTTAAGGGTGGAGATTATGAGATTCTGTGTTTGTCATCCATGCCAATTCTGAGGCACCTTGTTTAGTGCCTTACACATTGTAGAGGCTAGATAAATATTAATTTGAAAGCATGTATAATATATCACAAAAATGATTAGAAACAGTATACAGGAAGGAAATAGTGAACAATATAAAACTACACATGAGTAAGTCCTAAGTTGTACATAACATTCTATGAGTGGGACAGGAGTTTAGAAATGAGAAATATTGTTTTATAATTCATTTTACAAACACATATAGGTGCTGAGTTACTCTGCAGCAATCTCTGGGATTCAGCTTTGGAGCCAAAGGATGAGTAAAACAGTTCCTGACTTGAAAGAGTTGGTGACAGATGAGAAAGACAGACGTGCACACGGAGCATTGTAATAGCCCAGGGCGAGGCTCTGACAAGGGAACGAGCGTGATAGAACCCCAGACAGAGGCAGCTAATTTTGCCTGAAGGTTGGGGTGAGGACAGGCAAGGCTCCACAGATGACAGTTTCACCAGATAGAGAAGGCGGAGAAAAGCATCTTAGAGCTGCCTAGAGACAGGTAGCTACCTAGACAAAGGGAGCGGCAGATGTAGGCAGGCAGAATTTGGAGTGAGCTCAGGAATGATGAGAACTTCTAAAAGGCCCACATGGGAGGAGCTGAAACTGGAAAGGTAGGCCAGCAACGAGGCTTACTTTCTAGCCAGCTGGGGGATGGCATTGCGGATGGATGCAAGATTGGAGCGAACCAAAGCAGACAGCACAAGTGATGACAAAGGGACAAGAGAGGCTGGGCAGGCCAGTCGAACCTAACAGCCTCAGGTTTATCAGTGAAGTGAGAGTCAGGAAATAGGAGAGGGAGCAAATGAGGGGCACTGCAGCAGGAGCCGGGATTGGAGTAGGGAACCTGAGGATTCAGAGAATAAAGTGAGGGAATGAGCTTGGAGGCATGTCTGAAATGATGGGTAGAAATGACTGGCTGCGCAAACATTCATACTGGAGAATGGTAGGAAATAATACTAATGAAGCAGGTAGGATCAGATTAGAGAGGGCTTGAAATCATGCAGAGCTGTCCTTGAGTTGCAGTCTTCAAGAGGGCAGTTTGGCAGGGATGAGATGCCTGGTTTGGGTCAGCTGTAGCTGAAGGCCAGTGCAATCGGTCCTAAGGTTGCTGTGGAAATCAAAGTGTGAAATAAAAACAGGAAATGGAATTGAGAGTGCATTGCACAGGTTTGGGGAGATTACCCTAGTGAGGTTCCCTTCTCAAAGGATCTCCACCTAGCCCCTGTTGGGTGGACATTGGCTCCTGTGACCCACGCACAACCCTGGCCACAGCAGATGGGACCAGGAATGAACACCAGATCTAAGCAGAATAAATCAGAATTTCTTAAAAATTCTAACCAAGCAATGTAAAGGGTAATTTGATGGCAAATGTAAAAAGATGGTGGATAGTCTTAAAAAAGAAGGTCATTGTGAGAAAAGGAGTTGAAGGGTTGGAGAGCAGGAATAGGCATAATCAGCTTATTAAACAGAACAGGCTTATGTATGGGAAAGGATACAGCATAGTAGCCAAGAACTTGGACTCTGAAGTCTTATTGCTTGGGTCCAGGTGTCAGCTCCACAGTTTACTACTTATGTGACTATAGGCATGTTTCAGAACCTCACAATACTTCCATTCTTCATCTGTATCATGGAGATAAAAACGTGTCTCCTATAAAGTTGTCTTGAGGATTATGCAAATGAAATGTGCAAATAGAATGGTAACAGAATGCCTAGAGCACAGAACACTGAATAAACATCAGATAGCTACAAGGAATACCCACAGAACCTGGTAACTTAATTAGCAGATAAAGGAGAATGAAGAATCAAAGTTGTCTCTAAGAAAGAGAAAAACAGGAAACAAAACATCCATCTTCAAGTGCAAAACCAACACCAGAAGTAGTTGCACTTATGGGGATACAAAGCAAAGCCGTTTCTCACCCATTGGTGGTCCATCTTCTGTTTTACTAAGCATTGTCACCTTCAAGGTATCTCCATTAGTCATTAGAAGGTGACCCTCTTCACAGCCAATGTAAAGGTCACTTGTTGGAGTCCAGCAATGCATAGTCGGGTGGAGCAACGGATATACATCATCTTTAGGCTTCAGGGAAGGATTAGAAACCTTGTGTTAAGACAACAGTCATGGTTTAAGAGCCAGATAAATAATACCCATCAAAACAGTTTCCAAAAAGGAACAAATGCATATGGACCTATATACAGTCACTGGTCCTGTCATTTATCAACAGTTAAGTGAACTTCCTGGCTCCATTTTAAATCACCAGGAAAAAATGAGCATTCTAGAACAAGAGTTCAAGTGTCACAGATTTTTGTGAAAGTTTTGAGTAATAACTTCTGTACTCTTTCTTGGTGGACTTTTTTGGCATCTCTAAGAAAGCCATTGTCTAGGTAAAATCGCCCTTTTGGAGGAAGACCTGCATCCACATCTCCCTCCTGGTTCCTCAGAGGGTGTGGATGCGGTTTTCCTTGAGTGGTTACGGAGAGGCTGGCCTACATCCTCTGCTTAGTTAGCTTTCACTGGGGATGAGAAGAGGATCCCTTGCCTAATTCTGGTGGCCTCCCTAGTGAGGTTCATGAAACATCCTATGTAACTTTAATTCCATGGAAAACTCAAAAAGAAGTGTACAAAATCTATGAGAGGTGCCTAGAATAAAAGTTGGCTCTGGAGTCTAAACATAACATGGACTAAGGACTTAAGGCAAAATTTTCCTGTAGAGGACCAGATAGTGAATATTTTAGGCTTTGTGGACCACATAGGTCTCTGTCACATATCCCCCCTTTTTTTTACAACCCTTTAAAAAGTGTAAAAGCCATTCTTAGCTTGGGACCATACAAAAACAGGTCATAGTTCATTGATCTCTGCCTTATCAAACAGTTATACTTCAGTGTTATGCCCTCTGCAGCCTCATGTCCAGGAAGGGAGAGGCCGTCCCCCTTTCTGTTAGCACAGAACAGGTATGGCTTTGCCAAAGTAATTATTTTACCTATTGAGGGAAGAAATAGTATCAACAAATATCAGAATAGGGAAGCATAGTAAGTTTTAGTAGAAGGGTGTTTAAATATTATGTGAGCACTGATGAGAAAGCAGTTGGTTCTCCGTGGACTACAGGAAGTGTGGAGAAAGAAAATTATCATTTGGGATGGACCTTGAAATATGACTAAGGCAGAAATCCCACAGGAGCATTGCACAGGAGTACTCGTCAGGATAAACTTTTAGGAGGACACATTGACTTGAGGTGTGTGATTGGTCTATTTCAAGCCCTCATTGGTCAGAAAATAAATACATGAGTAACAGTTTCATCACCCAGTGGGTAAAGGGCGAGACCACCCAAGAGGATTAAAGTGCTGTTGATTGATGACATTTGTGTGTCTGAGATTTGACTCTTAGGGAAAAGAGCTACTAACCTCTAAATGCCATTATTTAGTTATATACCATTATTTAAAAGTTTCTTGAGTTGTCTTGATGCCACATCTAATCTTATACTATAAATCACAAAAAGACATACTCTTACCTGGTATGGCAATGGGCTAAAAAAAAATGCTTAAAAAGCACATATATATGGTTCTTACACCACCAGTGAATGTGTGTGTGTGCAACAGGTGAGGATTAAAACTTGGAATTTTCTGGCCTTAGTATGTTAAACTAGTATTGTGTGTGGCTTTTCTTACTTTAAAAGAAACCTGTTCTATTATTTCCCTTCATCAATAAACATGTTCTGTGCAATTTAAAAATGAATGTGATATTATGGAT